TTAAGCACAATCAGAAGGTTGTGGTTGAGACTGTGAAGATCCTCTTCTTGCTACAAAAGAAATTTTTTCAAACTCTAAAATAATGAAATAAATATTCTTTTTTAGAAAGATATAACAATTTTGAAATAAAGATTTAATATTTTTTAGAAATAATTTTACCTACTATAATATCTTCAGAAAGCTCAAAATCTTCCATGAGGTTCAAGTCTTTGAAATAGGTAAAAGACGACTTTAACCAATTATGGGTGCAAATTAATGCCTCTGCCATTTTAGGTTTTAGGAATCTCCTGTAAGTTTCTAAGACTCTCCCTCTCGTGCTGAAGGCACTTTCTGATGCAACAGTAGATATTGGTGTGACAAAAATCTTTAGTTATTGTTGATTAAAATAGGATATTGTGCAGAATTGTGTTTCCACCATACAAGAAGGTAAACTTTTAGGATTCCTTTTGACACACTTACTAGAGTAAAAATCCTCAAGCTTATTTTGTTGATCAATCGAGTCTTGTTTCTCTAAATGTTGCTTAAAAACATCGACACTAGCCATTAGTGAAGGACGACCAACAACTGTTTCATCATTGGAAACATTGTTAATTTTCACCACTACCAAGAGGTTTTCCATTATGCTTTTGGTCATAAGCTTGCTTATACCAATCACACAATTTTTGTAAGCTCACTTTTATAGATTTGATCAACCTGGTAGCAAACACAGATTCAACTCCATATATATCCTTAAAAGTTCTTTCAATATAACTCAACTTGTATCTTGGATCCAAAATAATTCTAAAATAAATCAACTTGTTCATCTTAGTAGCACACTATTAACTTTCAAATTTGACTACTGGATTTTTATTAAAGAAATAATAAAAAGAATTACATGAAGTAATGAATAGGTGTTTCGACATGGCTATATTTAATTTAGTCAAAATGGCCATTTGTGCGAAGAGGGAATGCTGGATAAAGACATGAAGAAAAATATTCTGAAGATGGTTCGCTGGAGATGGTATTTCGACGCGTAATTTGAATTCAAATAAAGGAGAAAATTTTCGTTCTTATCCAGATTTATGAAGAATGACACATGGAGTTTTCCAAGGAAGAGAGACATACCGAGCGCCACTTGTCATTTGTTTATGGTGTAACGTTAGAGTTGATTATTTTCTACCATTATAAATAGAAGGTCTTAGTGTTAGAATAGGGGTGTTCCAAAGATTGTACAAAGTTTCTGAAAATACTCAAAGCATCCGCGTGTAGAGAAAATATGTATGTCGAAGAAAATGTACGTTTGATTACACCATGTCTTTATATTTTAATTCCAATTTCATCTTTTTATTACAAAGTCCATCTATTTAGTGTTTAAGTTTTCTTTTACTATCTTTGATCCAATTCTTCTGCACTTTACTTCTTCTAAGTTTTTTCAAAGTGTTTAGTTGTTAGATCATGGATAATATGAAACTCTTCATTACTTCCCAAACCTCAAATTAAGAATTGCTAGCACATGTCCTAGGATTTGTGTGGTCGATCCTATACGTAAACCAATTCTTTTAAATTGGAAAGACCAGTGATTGTTTACCATTTTTTCCAGTAAACAAATTGGCACGCCCAGTGGGATAGTGCTAGTAGTTTTTTGTCGCAATTTTGTTTATTCTTGTTTCTCTTTGAAAATTTTGTTACATGTTATTGAGAAGTGACAAAGTAGCCACCGGTAACGAAGATAGACCAAAGAGAATGTATACTAAGAAAATGGAGAATCCTAACTAGCCAAATGTTTCAATTCTTCAAATTTCATCGAGTAATAATAGAGAACAACCCCAAGCGTCTTCGATTGGGGCAACAACAATCCTAGTGACTGTATCAGAACCAATGTTGTCTATGACAAGTTCGATGCCCACACAATCAATTACCCATAGTGATCCCATTCTAAATTATACTGGGCCAAGGGGCCCTCAAGTAACTCCTCCACCAGTGGGGATTGCCTCGAATAGGCCTTTCACGCCCCCAAGTTTCTCTATGCCTTTTGGAAATTGAGATCAACCATATGGAATGCCAACATTCATGACGACAAATTTGCACCATGTCACCTCAACATTCTCAGAACCTATAGTGAACGTTACTTCACCACTACAAGAATCAGGCTCTGGGATAAACATAGGGCGAAATAGCCAACTTGTAGGAATCGATTATTCCATCCAAATGCCAAACTTCACCAACAACTCTGCAAAAGTCATTAGGCAACAAATGGGTGAGAGTAACCACGAAATGGTCCAAATGTTGGCCCAAATAATGGGAACGATTCTTAATCCCCTAATACAAAGCACCACCCTATCCAACCAAAAAGTAATGGTACAAATGACACGCATTGCAGAATTTATTGGAGTATCACAGCCTCCTCGACATCCGCAGAGAGAATACATATTGGCAAATCAGGAAGTAGCCCTCAAAGAGGATCCCACTATTAATCAGGTTCAACAAAACCAAGGGAATCCACCCCATGTAAATCTAGCTGATGCAAGAGTGACACTCGAACAACCTAGGGTCGAAATTCCTAGAGCCCAACCCCAAATTCCCATCGAGGAAAGACCTAGGGTAGTAATGGTAAACATGGACCAAAATGCTGATAATGTTGTATAGTAGATTCAACATGATGATATGGCTGCGGATAATAATCTAGCAGTCATGGTCAAAAGGATAATGGCACGAAACAGAGTAAACTTTGGTCTTCGACTTCGCCATTATCAAAGTATATTTTACAATCAGACTTGCCACCTAGATGGAAGGTCCCTAAGTTCACTAAGTTTTTGGGGGATACCATTGAATCTACTGTCGAACATGTGGCTAGGTATTTGATAGAGGCTGGAGAGATTTCGAACAATGAAAATCTTAGGATAAAATATTTTCCAAATTCTCTCACCAAAAATGCTTTTACATGGTTCACAACCTTGCCACCAAATTCGATCCATAACTGGAATCAGTTAGAAAGTTTGTTTAATGAACAGTTTTATATGGGCTAAACCAAGATTAGTTTGAAGGATTTGACCAGTATCAAATGAAGTTCACAGAGCCAATAGATGATTACTTGAACAAATTTTGTCTACTTAAGGCCAGATGCTTTACGCAAGTTCCAGAACACGAACTGGTCGAAATGGCCGCTGGAGGTCTAGATTATTCTATTAGGAAGAAACTAGATACCCAGTACCTTAGAGATATTGCCCAATTGGCTGACAAGGTTCGACAATTAGAAAGTTTGAAAGAGGAAAAGGCTAGGGTAAATAAAAACAAGAGGGTAGCCTACGTTGAATCTAATGAAGATGATGGGGGCCAGTATAATGAACCATCAGACTTCGATGAAAGTGAGATCGATCTTGCTGAATTAAAACAGGAGCCCTCTTATTCATGTAAGGTCTTAGCTCCCTCAAACGGAAAAAATCCGTTCGAAACCGATAAAAACGATATATTCCCTAAGAGAACTTACACCTTCAGCGTCACTAAATGTGATGATATTTTTGACTTATTAGTTAAGGATGGTCAAATGATAGTGTCTCCCGATGCTACAATACCTCATTTAGAGCAAAGGAAGAAAATATGGTTTTGTAAGTATCATAATTTTTTGGGTCATAAAACTTCTTAAGGTTTTCTTTTCAGGGATCTCATTCAAAATGCCATCAAAGACGGAAGATTGAGGTTCGGTGAGAAAACAAAGGCTCAAATGAAAATTGACGCTGACCCTTTACAGATAGCTGACGCCCATTTCACTAAGTTTGCTATTGTGAATATGATCGAGGTCACTGATGATTTCGCTCATAATGTTAACATGCTCGAAGTCGCCTCAGACTTTGTTAACAATGCTGTCATGATCAAGATCACTGAGGATCTTGATGAGGAAGATATAAAAGATGGTCGATGTGGGGTTAATGATGGCCTCACCTGTCGCTACTGTGAAAATCGGCGTCGGCTAAACAGAAGAGTCGCCACCGTGCGTTATTTATCCCAACGGAGGGAAAGGAAACGCTCAGAGTAAACCTAACGCAAAACGGGAAAGGAATGGTCGTCGCAGCCAAATTCCTGGATTCGGGAGTCGATTACGCAAGGGGAAGGTACTAGCACCCCTCACGTCCGCCGTACTCGACGGGATCCACGCTTGTTTTCTAGTACGGATTGTTATTCTATCTACTCTAGAGGTCTGGGTTAAAAAGAAAAGAAAATGACTCAGCAAAGTATCGCACTTTATGCCTACGTATTCCCGTCTGGAACGAGAAATCAGAGTCAACGTAGTTCGCCTACCTACGGGAAAGGAGGGGAAGGTTGCTCGCTAGGATACGACATCCTATGCCTACGTACTTTCATACAGCATGAAAGATCAGAGCAAACGTAGTTCGGGCTACGGAAGACACAAGCTTGTCTGACTGTTTTTTATTACCTTCAAAAAGGGTTTTTCTTGATTAAGAGTCCAAGCGGACAAAAATGACACTTTGATGTTTGTTTTGAATCTTTTACGAAAGAAGTGTTTTTCAGTTTGTTTGCAATCTCTGACGCACTAGAGACTATGATTTGAGAGTGACTACATCGCGTGTCACCCAAAGGGTACCACACTAAGCAGCCAGACTACTAGAAAGAAGCTCTCCAGCAACCCTTTATCAAATAGCTTAAGGCCCGTAACGTACGACATCGATTAACCTTATTACTGTGTTTTTGAGTTGTTTTGAGATAAGAAGAGAAAGAAACTCTAAAAAACCTAGGGTTGAAAAGGGAATAAAAAACTAACCTAATGTTGTCATGCATGGATAAGAATCCTAATGTCTGTCATAATTCCCTCCTGCACAGAGGAAACCAGAGATCCTAGGGGATAAACAGAAAAGAAAGCAAGCAAGTACAGTAAAATGCATGCAATGCAGCAATACAAGCGAGGCAAGGGAGTCTCACTATACCTCGAACCTGGGAAAACAACAGGCAAAGTGAATCAACATTCACCTCAAACCTAGGGGGCGAGCTACACAAGCCAACAAACAATACAGAAAACAAAACCCAAAGGAGGCAGCCCAAGCAGCAGCACCAAACTCCTACAGCAGCTCTGACAGCAAAGTTGACAGTAACATAACTCCATCTTCAAGCAGACCTTATGAAAGGCATCTTCAACATCTTAGATCTTCATCCCCAAGCTCTAGCAAGCTCCACCAAGAAATATTGGTTATTGAGATCAATTTATAATGAATGGGAACCAGTGAAAACCAAAGGAAATCACTAGAAACCATCATCTGCAAAGAAGGGTATCCTCAAAAGTTCTACTCTTTAAGGCATACCACTCATCCCTCCAAGGGAGGGATGGGGCTTCCTTAAGATGACTTTGAATCACATGATAGGATAGAAGTAAGCAAAACATTCCATGTTTGAGGCAAGAAATGAACTAAGTCTAAAAAGCTCTTCCTAAAACCATATTTTTCCTAAGCTCTTGACAAGCACTCCAACAGATGAGAGAATCTTCACATCCAAGCTCCTTCAAGCTCTCCAAAGAATCTTCAATTGGTCTTCATGATCACCCAAGCACAAGAACAACACCACCCTAGTCTAAGGGGAACTATTGAATTAAACTAGCCAAATTAGTTCATCAGAAACACCTAGAAGTTAGTCTTAAAACTAATTCTA